TACTATAATTTCTACAAGAACTTACCCCCCCGGCAAGGGCGCCAAAAACTTGACACGACTAAAAGATTAATGTCTTCTCCTAAGTGCAGGAGTGTCAAAGTAATAAATAACCCGGCAAGACCAGGGTCGAACCACAGAGAGGTTAATTGTACAAATTATAAACGACAATAGTAACAACAACAACAACAATAATAATAGTAATAACAACGATAACAATAATTACAATAGTAGTAGTAGTAATAATAATAGATGAAGAAGAAGAAAAAGAAGAAGTTGATGAGAACTTTGAGATGGAAAGATTAATGTAAGGATTAAACAATGATAATAACAAATGTCAAGGTTAGAGGTTCCACTAATAGTATGTCAAACAAGTATAGTATAAACTCTTATTATTCAATTGGAAACTACACACAAAGGAGGTGCCAATCAGATTATAGATTGTTAACATGATTACATTAGTCATCTTATTCAATTCATGCTAGTACTTGTAAATTTCGTCAAGCATTCATGATTATAACTTATGTTAACAACAAATCAAGTTCCTTTCATAGCTTAAGTGTCGGTTATACCATACAGTATGGGCTATGAAAATACCAAGCATTTGTTGTACCAAGTGTTATACAACATAAATCAAGATTAATCATTTAATAAGCAAAGTATTAAAAAGTGAACAAGATAACAAATACAAAACATGTTAGTGTCAAACATTAAAGTCCATGTTAAGTTTACACTATACTTATTCTTACACCATTAGTGTAACCTTTTCACCTTGACATAATAAACTTAGCTAGACATAAAGAAAGAAAGAAAAATAAATAAACAAAATAAGAACATAAATAAGATAAAAGTTAACTAAGTAAATGAAAGAAAATAAAAGGCATAAACTTGATATTAATAAAAGCAAAGCATAAACATTACAAAAAAATACAAAGAGAGAAAGCAAAAGCATGATCTTGATCTAGAGACCAAGATGCCTAAATTCATGGCAAATGCCTTCTTTTATAGGGTAAAATTGGGAACTATTGATTTGATGACTAATTGATGAGTGGGTGACCAACTCTTGACTTGGTGACAATCTTTATCTTCTCTTGTCTGCCCAAAACGTCATTGATAACGTCCAAATTGGAGCCACTTGAAAACATGAAAATTGTAGGAAATTGTCTCAGCTTTCTTTTGTAAAAAATTCAGCTCATTTGGACTTCTAGAACTCCAGATATGGGCCAAATACTGAACAGTGTTATGGCTGAAAGATAGATTCGGGCTTCTTTATTGTTGCTACAATTTAAACTAGAAAATGGCTTTTTTAGATCTTGGGCTCCATATGAAAGTTGTAGGCCTATAAATGGGACTTAAATCTGAGATATATAGCTCTAGATATGACCTAATTACCTAACAGTTTTCTGGTATGGACTGCACCGACATCTCTTTTCTATGTTTGGTCATCTCTTTGCCCTTGCAATTTAAGTTCTTAAAGTCATCAATCAATCCTTTTATTTATGTGATAGGCCTGCATTTAAAATGAACATTTACCACAAATTAAAGGTATTTTATATTATTAGATATATTATTATAAAACATGCTTTAGTTAAGGAGTTATTGATACTTCAAGTGCAAAATGATGATATAAAACCATGAGAAAAATGCACTTTTAAGTACTAATCAATAGGTGTCTGTTATACCATACAGTTTGTGCTATGAAAGTGTCAAGCATTTGATGTACCAAGTGTTATACAACATAAATCTAGATTAGTCATTTAACAAGCAAAGTATTAAAGAATGAACAAAATAACAAATACAAAATATGTTAGTATCAAACATTAAAGTTCATATTAAATTTACACTATACTTATTCTTACATTATTAGTGTAACCTTTTCACCTTGACATAACAAACTTAGCTAAACCTTTTCACCTTGACATAACTAATTTAGCTAGACATAAAGAAAGAAAGAAAAATAAATAAACAAAATAAGAACATAAATAAGATAAAAGTTAACTAAGTAAATGAAAGAAAATAAAAGGCATAAACTTGATATTAATAAAAGGAAAGCATAAACATTACAAAACATACAAAGAGAGAAAGCAAAAGCATGATCTTGATCTAGAGACCAAGATGCCTAAATGCATGGCAAATGCCTCCTTTTATAGGCCAAAATTGGGAACTATTGATTTGATGACTAATTGATGAGTGCGTGGCCAACTCTTGACGTGATGACAATCCTTATCTTCTCTTGTCTGCCCAAAATATCATTGATAATGTTAGAATTGGAACTACTTGAAAACATGAAAATTGTAGAAAATTATCTCAGCTTTTCAAAAAATAATTTAGAGATCATTTGGACTTGTAAAACTCCATATATTGGCCAAGCACTGAATAATACGCGGGCTGCAAGACATATTCAAACTTCTTTATTGTTCCTATAATTTGGACTTGAAAATGACCTTTTTAAATCTTGGGCTCTATATGAAAGTTGTAGGTCTATGTTTCCATCCACGTAAAGTAAACCTAAATCTAAGATTTGTAGCTCCATATATGACCTAATTACCGAACAATATTCTGGTTTGGACTGCACCGACATCTCTTTGTCCTTTCAATTTCAGTTCTTAAATTCATCAATCAATCCTTTTATTTATGTGATAGGCCTGCATTTAAATGAACATTTACCACCAATAAAAGGTATCTTATATTATTAGATATGTTATTATAAAACATGTTTTAGTTAAGGAGTTATTGATACTTCAAGTGCAAAATGATGATATAAAACATTGATAAAAATGCACTTTTAAGTATTAATCAACATACAAAATCACCGACGGATTGAAAAGTCATCAGTGTTATTTGATGGTTTCTTGAAAAATTTCAATTTAATTAAAATTTTAAATTAAATATTACAGACGGAATTAAATTAAATATTGCAGACGGAATCATCGACGAATTGAAAAGTTGTTAGTAATATTTGGCGGTTTCTAAAATTTTTTTATTAAATTAAATATTACTGATGAAATTATCAACGGAATGATTAAAAATATTAATATTTAATTATCCATCAATAAAATCATCGGTAAAACTCTCTAATAAAAAATCTAAAATCTCTAATTTCACAATAGATGAGGCTTTTTTGTTGTTCTTCTTCTTTTTCTTTCCAATGTGTAAAAAATATCAATATTCATTTTTTTTCTCTTTTGTTCTCTCCTCAACTCTTTCTTTTCTCCTCCATGCTTAGGTATGCTTTCTTCTCGTTTTTTTTCCCCTTTTTTTCTTCTTATTTTTTTAATTAAATATACTTTATAATTTTTTTTTCTCTTCTTAACTTAGCTTGTGGTTATATTAAGGTAAGATTTTTTATAACTATATTTATTTTTTATTTTTTATTATTTTTTTAATAATTGTATAAATATCGTTGTAGGATTTTTTTTCATATAAGATCAATTTTTAGTTGATTTATTTATATGCTTTTTAAATTTTCTGCAATCACAACTTTATTTTTTTCATATAAATTGTTTTAGTTGAATTTATTTTTTCATGTTATTTATTTGTTGCAAATTTGTATTAGTTAATTTTCTTCTTTGTTTTTTTCAAGCGGTTTGAGTATTTTAAAGTGTTGATTTATATTAATTTTATTTTTTTATAGTTTTATAAAATGAATATATATATATATATATACATATATATATATATATAATTACCAAGAAATTACATATGGTATTTTTTGAGTGAAGTGCTAACAGAATGAAGCGGGTAAATTTTTTTTATATATTTTTTCTATGAGTAAATTTATCGGTAATAATATTTTTTTATTATTAATAGATTTACCGATGAAAAAAAAATTATTAATGAAAGATTCATTGACAAAACTTTTTCATCAATAATTTTATTAATAAATTAATTATAAATGAAATAATAATATAAATATCCATTAATAAATATAAAAATTATAGTAGTGGAAGAAATTGCATTGGCAGACAGTATCCATCATAAGTGAATTATAAGTGACAACGTTAGGTTCTCCATCTCTTAAATCCACACGATGTAAATGACAGAAGCTATTAACCAAGATGTTACGACTAAAAATATTATGTGTGATTCCAGCGAGTTCCATTTCTTTGGACAAAGAAATCGCGGGTAGAGGGTTTCCTATGAAGCATGTGATTGAAGGAAGCTACAGAATGATCAATGTTTCTTCATTTCCTAGTATTATAAATATGAAAGAAAATGGAGGTATTATTGAATATTAAGGATGGAGACTGAACCATACCTCTTTTCTTGGCTTTGGAAATGAAACCCAGTCAAGGCTGAGGTGGAGATGAAGAAAAAGACGAGGAAGAAGTTGATAATGAAAAGATCCGCCGCATCAGCGCTATGATCGGCTTTGCTCTGTTCTTTTTCTCTCTCTCTCTCATTGATAGAGATGATGATAGCCATGATGACGGGAAAAAAAATTAATTTTATATATTTATAAATAAAATATAATTTAAAGGTTAATGAACTACAAGTAACCATCTAAAAAAAAGTTTATAATTTTTCTAATATTTCTAATATTTATTTCCTTAAAATTTATTATTTTAAAATATTATTGTATTTAAAAAAAATAAGTTAATATTTGAGATTTTTTAAATTAAAAATAAAACATTTTGTAAGTACAGCAACTAACCACTTTAACTAAAAAAAATTAAATTAAATTATAAAAATTAAAAAATTAATTGCCTTATTCCAAAGTTATCTCAATCTTTTAGAAAATCATCACTCTGTACACTTTTTGAAGTGTTGGCTTGGACAGTGAATAAGTTAAACTGAAACTTTATTGCAATCAGCTGAGGTGTTCCCTTAAATTGTTTAAAGATGAAATTTAATTTTAATTAATGTATAAATTAATTTAAAAGTATCTCTTACTAATAAATAACAAAATAATTTAAGTTGCGCCCGACCATAAAAATAATAAGAGAAAAGAAAAAAAAAGAAAAAAAAAAGGAGTAGCAATCAGGCCACTATCTTCTGGCCCATCAAGCCGGGAAACCATTTAGTATAACCTTCTAGTCTCTCGCTCTGACCCAAAAGTCTTGAGAATCTCTCTCTGAGAGATTGTGAATCACTCCGAAGTGAAAGAATTTACTTTCCATCTGTGCTCTTCAAGAAACATAAGGTAAAGCACCCGTTTTGTTGATCTATTATGTTGGTCGTCTCTTCAAGCTTTTTTTTATAAAAAAAAAAAAAAAAAACTATGTTGAATCAATTACTGTAAAGTTTGTAGTTTTTTGTTTTTATGTTTAATGTGAACCCATTTGCTTGTTTCTCAAGATGCATGATCCAATTGTCAAAGAAAGTTTGTTTCTTCTTCTTTTGTATTTATTGTTAATAAAAAGATTGAGTTTCTAGTCTCTTGCTTGTTTTTGCCCATGCTTGTTTTTAGCAAGATTCAAGCTTTCTAATTCTTGATGATTGTTATTAGATGGATCGATATTGGGTTGGTTTCCTTCTGGTGTTTTCATGTCTTGTTGGAGCCTTAGAGGCCAGTGCTGGGGATTCTGATCCCATTTACAGGTAAATTTTGACCCTTCCTTTAATTACTGTATTACTTCATGTGCATCTGGTTCCATGTTTTTTTGTTCTTCAGTAATGTTATTAATCGTCCACACACCAATGTGACAAAAAGAACAAATCTAGTTTTTTTATAATGCTAATTGCACAATTTGATATATCGACAAAGGAAGTTTTGAGCCTGTAAATGTGATTTCTACACCATCAAATTTGTGGCTGTTTCTCTCACATTGGGTCACCCAATGTGCACAAGAGGCATGAATTAATTTCGTGGGCAGATACGGATGTGCTGAACATTCAAGAATTCGGTATTTCTTATATTTGCCTGCTTGTTTCAGCAGTCCTGCTGTACTAGCTACTCTTTAATGCAGTCACTGCTGAGCTATTTCTCATATCTTCAGTGTTAGGTTCAGCAATTTTGGTCTGTTCCACCATTTATTTGGTGTCCATTCTCATTAACAAATATTTTCCCAAAGGATATATTCATGAAAGACACCTTCAAGTTTGTTTTATTTTGGTATCTTTTCTATCATTTTGTGCTTGTTCAGAATACCTGATTACAGTTTGCTATGAGATTAGGTCCCTCAATGTCAGTAATGTTTTTGTTATTCAAAACAACCTGATTATGTGCCCTTTTTACATTCTGTTGTATTTTCTTCTCATTATCTGTTGTGGAATCAAGTAAATTGCTCTTATGTATAATTATTATAATCTCCTATAATTCCATTTTGTGCATGCTGAAATATTTTGTTTGTTCTGAAAATTAGGACTTGTGTTGGACAATGTGAAAAATCTGGATGTGTTGGGCAAACATGCTTTTCACACTGCAATTTTTCTTCTGATGGTGTCTCCATTGATGGTCCGTGGTACAAGCAAGAACCTCTTTACTTGCAATGGAAACAATGGGATTGCCAAAGTGATTGTCGTTATTATTGCATGCTGGATAGAGAGAAAGAAAGAGAAGCACTTGGTCATGGTCCTGTCAAGTACCATGGTAAATGGCCCTTCAAGCGTGTATATGGAATTCAGGTTTGCTCTTCTAGTAGTTCTATTCTCATTAGCCTTTTTGTTTTCTTCTTAAATGCTCAAGATCAATCCTATTAATCTCGAGAAAACTTAAATGACCTATTGTTTATGTGCTCAGGAGCCTGTTTCTGTTGCTTTCTCTGCCCTTAACCTTGCAATGCATTTCCATGGTTGGCTATCCTTTTTCATTCTTCTCTACTACAAGTTGCCTCTGAAACAAGATAAAAAGGCCTACTATGAGTATGCCTCTTTGTGGCATATCTATGGGCTCTTATCATTGAACTCCTGGTTCTGGAGTGCTGTTTTCCATAGCCGGTGAGGTTCTTCTTTTTAATCAGACTTTCATTTGTGAGGACTTTATCATTATATAATTTTTCTTCATCTTTTTTTCATTTTTGTTATCCATGCATACATGACTTTGTTTATTTTACCATGTTCAATTTTATGTTCCTTATCTTGCATTGTCTGTTTGAAATGCAGGGATGTGGACTTGACAGAAAAGTTAGACTATTCTTCTGCAGTGGCATTTTTAGGGTACTCGCTAATTATGTCTATATTAAGAAGTTTCAATGTGAGGGATGAAGCTGCAAGAGTCATGGTTGCCGCACCACTACTTGCTTTTCTGACTACTCATATACTGTTCATCAACTTCTATAAACTAGACTACGGTATTGCATCCATTCTCTTTTTGTCTTCTTTCTAGACCAAGGTTTAGTACATAAAATGTTTCTATTCATTCTTAAATGGCTACAATTACTCGAGGAAGTAAGGTTTTCTTCAACGTTACTCAAAGTTTTCTCATAGTATGTAGTAAGAAACTGACAAGATTCCTGACATCTTACAGGGTGGAACATGCAAGTTTGTGTTGTGATGGCAGTTGCTCAGCTTCTCCTGTGGGCGATTTGGGCTGGTGTCACAGGCCATCCTTCTCGCTGGAAGTTGTGGGTAGTAGTAATTGGAGGTGGCCTGGCAATGCTCTTAGAAATCTATGATTTCCCTCCATATGAAGGATATGTGGATGCCCATGCGCTTTGGCATGCTACCACAATCCCTCTTACCTACATTTGGTGGAGTTTCATAAGGGATGATGCCGAGTTCCGCACCTCTAATCTCCTTAAGAAGGTTAAGTAGCATGTAGTAAAACAAACAGGCAAACCTATTTGACCTTTTCTTAGACCTGGCAGCAAAGTTTGATAGTTTAGAGGGTTCGGCATATTTTGTCTGTGTTGTAGTCTTCTCTCCTTTTCTGGTGAAAGATTCAAGTAGCAGGATGGGATTCTGTAGTAGAGCATGAGCTTGTGCAGATCTTCCTAATCTTTTTCTTTCTTTTTTCTTATTTTCATGGAGGATTATCTCAAAGCATCGCACTATTACATAAGGATGTTACCCCCTGTATCCCATACTTTGGTCTCCTGCATCCTTGTGTATCAATGCTTAGGTTTTGTTTTCCGAACGTGCATGTTGATCTGAGATCCCTGTCACTTGAAAAAAAGATTAATTGTCATTTGAAGGATCATATAATCATTAACCATCTGCGTTGCTATTTTAGAATGTAAATGAATTGAGTTCCATTTGAGCATTGACTTGTTTACTTGCATTAATTTGGAGTGGATAATATTTTATTGTCAAGGTCATGGTATGCATGTTTAGGAATGTGATAGTTTAGGAATGTGATAGTGGTTGTTTTTAAAAGTATTTTTTATTTAAAAATATATTAAAATATTATTTTTAAAAAATTATTTTTAATACTATTGTATTAAAATGATTTGAAAATATTAAAAAATTAATTCAAAATAAAAAATAATAATAATCTAAAAAAATTATTTCTAAAATACAAAAACAACTGAGATTTTAGTTTTAAAGAGTTCAACTAAAATTATTAAGACTAGATTCAAATTTATTCAAATTAATCATCAATTATGCAAGCTTATGTTTAGTTAGAAATATATTTAAGTATTTTTTTTTATTTTTAAGTCAAAGAAAGTTATAAATATATTAAATTAGAAATAACTTTTGATTTGAAGTTTATTATAAAATTTATTTTAAATTTTAAATTAATTAAAAGTTCAAATTTGTACTTTGTTAACTTATAAATTATAGCTTTGAGTTATTTTTTACCTAGAGTTTGTTTTGTATTATAGTAGTGATTGTTTTTTAAAATATTTTTTATTTAAAAATATATTAAATAAATTTTAAAAAAAATATTTTTAATATTAATAAATTAAAAAATATAAAATCACAAAAAAAAATAATTTTTGCAAATGCATTTTCCATGGGTTCTAAATATGTTTTTAATTCAAAGTCATCTTGATTTTTATTTTTAAAATTTATTTATTAAAATAATTTTTGAATTACAAATCAAACTTAGAAAGTCATGTTAAACATGTGTCAAAGAAAACTTGTATATGTAAAATTTGTTATTATTACCTCCAATGAAAATTCATTCCTTTTAGTGTTTAATGTTGACCAACGTTTTTTTTTAAATTAGCATATTAAATTTAAAATCTTAATAGAATAATACCATTTGAGAAAAAATAGGTGAAAAACACTTTAAAACATGATATTTTTTTTAAAATGTTGCTATTACTAAGTGTGACAACTTAACATATCGCATTTTAAAAACACGACATCAATTAAAATTTAAGTGTCTACCTAGATCGAAGAACACAGAGACTTAACAACTAATCTCTCTCTTTCTCTCTCCAAACTAACCGATACCCTCAACCTTTATCTCTCTAAAAAAACCACCAAATACTTTTTCCCTTTAAAACAACAAAAGATTGGGCCTATCCTACCCTTTAAGTATTCTTGGATATTTTTGTGTTCAAAATTCATTGTTGTCTTGGTTGTCATTGTCATCCCAATTTTTTTTCTAATTCAATAAGTAAATAAAATAATTTTTTAGGTTGAATTTAGAGTTTATTGAATTAATGATGTATTAGTTATGAATGATTTAGGACTTGGCATCTTTTTAGTTCATATGAGGAGTCTTTAAAAAAAATATTTATGTTGTTGTTTTGTAAACCCTAGGAAATAAATGTCCGTGTAAATTGCAAACTAAATAAATGGGAAATAAAAGTGAAGAAATTCATGTACAAATTTAAATAAAATAGAAATTTTGAATTTTTCAAATGAAATATTTTGAGATATCATAAATTTAACCCGAAAATATTAAGAGTTGGATTAAATTAAAGAAAACGAACTAAACTAAAAAGTTGAGGGGTAGAATTATAAGAAATGAAAAGAAGTTTAACTTATTTATAAGAAGAAAAGATGTGGGGGCAAAAATAATACACTTAAAAGAAATGAGGTGTAAGCGTAAATAAGAGAAATAATGGGACATAAATACCCCTCTCCCTTCCTCATCAAAACTAGTAGCAACTATTAAGATAGAGCGAGGGGTTTTTGATTTTGTTCTTGTCAAATCAAGAGAGGAATACCAAAAATCTCAAGAACTCATCCAATATTAACGATTTATAGATAGAATAAACGCTTGTGAGCAATAGATTAATAAACAAATTTAAGGTAGAGAGAGAAGGGAGGGTTAGTTATCATTAGAAAAGGGGGAGTCGAAAATTTTCGACTGGTTGAGAATCAAAAACTTAATTCTTACTGAGCAAGGAGTTTTAAAAATGGCTCTATAAGTCGTTTTGAATTTGATTACAAATTAATGACTTACTATTGAATTTTTATTAGGATTCTTATATTGAACTAGGGGAAATTAATTAAATCTTAAAATTAAGTTAATCCATGTATTATATGTGATTGAGGGCATGAAATAATAATGATTCATCAAAGAAAATGTATGGATAATTGAGTTAGGGGGTGGTCGATCATATGAAAAGCAAAAAAGAAAATGGAGAAATTGTGGTTTTTCTTATTAAATTTATTATAATAGGTTGTTTTTTATATGAATAAGTGTGTGAATTGAATGAAATTAGCATGAAAGAAACTAGGGAACTCTTGGTTCCTTAAAGCCCTGCTTTCGACCAATTGTGTATTAAAGAGGGAGGATGTTTAATTTGATATATTTAGCTTGATGACATATATTTACTAGTGTTGAAATGAGAAAAAATACATGTAGAAATAACAAGGATTGTGTTTAGAAGAATATTGTTGAAAAAATTAGTAATATTGATAAAAATGTTCTATTTTGATGTTAAGAAGAAAGATTGAGATAAATAGAGTAAATTGGCTCTTAAAAGATATTTTTAACACTCTTATGTGGTATGTGATATGGCTAGAGGTTGAGATAAAAGAGGAAAAGTTGAATTGTTGATGTTGTGTGTAAATGAAAAAGGTTGCCAAATCTGGATTTATTCATCTCCTGACTTTTTTAGAGAATTGGAGTAAGAGGATGAGGGAATTCGAATGACGTCCATTCATTGGAATTGTAGTTTTAGATGTTGAATAACTAAAAATATTGGTCTTACTCAATTTGAAGCCATAGACAATTATAGGGTAAGATGTTAAATTCGTTGACGAGTAATTTTGAGTACCTTGGGGCCAGAACTAGGTTCTCCTTCCTTTATAAGGCTTGTAGCCTTATGTCCTAGCTTTCCAATGAGACCAACCTCACTTAAAATAGAGTCCTAGAACTTTGAATGTAGTCAAAATTTTGAGAAGAGGTCGAAATGCGACCTTTGCTAGCAGATTTAGAAAGCATTAAAACGACTATCTAAATGCGTTAAGGGTGAAAACTGGGTCCTTTTCCTTCTAAGAACATGTGATATTACATCTTAGCTTCTAAAAGAAATGAATTATGTTTGAAATGAAAATTTATAATGATAACTATGGTCGGACAAAGAATGACAATATTAATGGGTGAAATGGAAAAAACATAAAATATAAAGAAAGGAATAATTAAAAGAAAGACATATATTAGCTGATATGGTTATTATGAAATTTATCCTTGAATAAGGATAATTTATAAGATATGCCAGTGATTTTAGGAGAGATCACAAACATGGGGCAACAACAGCAAAAGAGCACAAGTAGAGCTTTTACTGCGAGTATGTGAGTTGCACCTATTATTTTCTAGTTAAATTTCATGATTTAATATGTTATTGAAGTGAAAAGTGAATTAGTGTTGTGATGTCGCAGACACACAAATTAATTACCCTAGCTAAACTAAACAAAATAGTGGAGAGCAAGCAAGCGGTAAATCTCACGAGGAAGGTTTAGTTCATATTTTTATCATAGATGATATGCAATTGGGGGGAGTTTTGAGGTTATTTAGGCTATAGCAGAACAAAACAATCAAGCTAAATTAAATAAATTATAAAATTATCAAGAGAATAAATATTGGTTTCAAGTAGATGTCCATCTACAGAAATCAAAACCAATCATTGAAATGATACATTGATTTATATTCTGAATATTTATTTTTTTCTTAATATTAGTTAGTTAATCGATCTACTTTATAATTAACCCTAACCATCAAACAACTACAATGTCCACGCTAGTAATTTAATTCAATGGTAATATTAAGAATTAAATAAGTTGATTAATCTAGACAACAAAATTATCTACAATCCATGTTTGATTTAATCAAATGTTTTTTATAAGATTAATAACATAGATTTGCCATAATTATTAAACTCAGTTGCTTCACAAGTTTATATACTACAACTCTAGTTTTGATAGTAAACTTAGCAATAAATTAGTTAAAACAGTAATTTAAAGTCCGCTCTAGTAATCAAACTAAATAATAATAGAAAATAAGCATAAATAATCATAAAAAACAAACATACTTATTATGTAAACTAAAAAGAAAAGGTAAATTAGATCTTACTGTTCTTGAAATCCAAAGCTTTCTGTTTCATTGCAACCAAGAAAAAGAACTTACCTTATATTTCTATTGAGAGACTAATCAAAAGAAAAGATGAATACATAATTTCAGGAATAGGAGGAAAGTATGAGTTTTTCTTCTTTTTTTTGGCTTCCCCCTCTTCCTTTCTCTCTTTCTTTTTATTTGATAAGAAACCCTAATTCCTTTTTCCTATAAAATAGTCATTTTCTAAGTAGATAATTTATATTAAAGTAGTGCAATAACTATTTTTCTATAAAAAAAATAGCCTTGTATAAAATCTTCTAAGCTTTTAATTTGGACTTAAAGGAGTTAAATTGCCAAAATAAAGATTTGGATGTCAGTTTGAATGGTTTGAGAAGTAAACTGGACTTACTTCTTCACAAAATTTATCTGCTGACACAATTCATATGTTATTTTAGAAAAATTATATATCTCTCATAGAAGCTCCTTTTCTACTGATATTTGGTAGGATGATAGGTCTTCGAGTCACAAATCCAATAATATTAAGTTTCATCAAATGGACTTCTTTAGCTCAAGATATTGAAATGGGAATGACTGAAGATCAACACTAGCAGCATGCAAGATTTGTCTTTGAAGGCTGTGATTTCCATACTCTTTCTCTTTTTATTTTTCTTACCATATATTTATAAAAAAGTATGGATGTTAACTTTCTAATTTCACTAGAATCATTTCTTTTT